GTGTTTTTAATATAAATGCATGCTACAGCACTGGAGCAAAATACATACAATTCTTTTCCCCCTTTGTTCAGCTCCAAGCCTGTGAGTCCTGATCGCCCCCTCTGTCCTTCACCAGTCACTGAAAGGACTAAACTGCTGCCTGACCCTGTTTCTCATAATGCCACACACTCACCTGGTGCCGAATCTGCCACGGAGACACTGGCTAAGTCCACAGATCAAACTACTGACGCCCAGGCAGCCTTAACAGACTGTACAGAGTCGGTTTGCTGCCCTGCAGTGGAGAGCACCATAGGGCTCTCTCAGACCAACCAGTCCATTCTTAGCCTGCGAGTGAGCGTTGAACATGCAGGTCCACATGGGCCAAAGGCGTCACCAGAGGCTTCCAGGCACATTATTGGGGGAGGCAAAGAAGAGATGAATATGTCTCAGTCAGACAAGCCTGGCTCTCGAGAAGGAACGAGACTGGTTGAGGAGAGAGAGAGGGATCAAGATAGAGATTTGGACCGGTCTCATGTTTCTGCTACCACAAAGGACAGAGATCGAGACAAGGAGAGGCACCGACATTACAGAGAGCGTGAGGACAGGAGCAGAGAGCGATATGCATATGGCCATCGGCTGGACAGAAGCCACCGTGCACCCAGGGAGCGCTCGTCCAGTCGAGATAGGCACTACCGAGAACGATCAGTAGATAGATACTGGGACAGATATTCTTACTACCGCCGAGACCACCACTACCACGACAAAAGAAGCAGGGATCGAGACAAGGACAGGAGGTACCAGCCCAGTGCCTATGATGCTCGGTCTCGCTTCGCTGGCCATTACTCCCGGGACGGGGGCTCTAGCCACTGGCGCCGCACTACAGAGGACGGTCGCGACAGGTGGCACTACAGTGGCGAGGAGAGTAGCTCTAGAGCAAAGCCCTCACCCCCCCGCTCAGTCAGCCCGGCCTCCAGACACTCCACCAGAAAACGCAGCCTGTCGGATGATGGCAAAACGTCCGAGGAGCACAGGGCCAAGAAACACAAGAAGTCAAAGAAAAAGAACAAAGACAAGCACAGGTGAGTGAGGTTTTATTCAGACTAGGGATGACCTGAGCTGATCAAGGAATGTTTAATTTTACCGGTTTTAGTTATGTATGACCACTTTAACCCAAAATCACTTTAACCCTGTAGGACTTCAGAAAAGGATGTGTCTGACAGGAATGGGGACAGCAGCTCCAGGCGCCACAAAAAAAAGAAAAAGAAAAAGAAGAGGAGGGATGAGGAGAGGAGGCGCACTGACAGCCACTCCTCCCACAGCTCAGTCGAGCGTGACTGGAAGGCCAAGAGCACAGAGGAGAGAAGGAGCCGCAAGCGCCACCGCAGCTCTGACCGAGAGGACTCTCCTCACAGCGCGAAGCGCGTTTGCACTGAGGTCCGCCCACAACTCAATGGTCATTCAGGTGCATAGCATTACCTTTTATTATACTTTCAAAGACTTGAGTTTTAATTTTCCATTTTAATGTAACTTGATTTGAAAAAAAAAAAAAATTCATTAAGCCCCCCCCGCACCACCACATACACACTTTGGCTGACCCATACACCTTGAAATGTTAATGAACTCATATGACCTGTATACTGCAGATAATGGCGTTAGCCATTACAATGGAAGTGTTAATGGATTCTGTCATACTGACACGGATGAGCAAGTGAAATACAGACATTTGAACCACATTTCCACTAATAGTGGTGGGAAGAAAGACTCATGTGGAGGACAAAATGGAGACACTGGGACCCTGTGCCACGGAGTTGTTTCTGCTGCAGATGTAAGTATGTTTCGCTCATAGAAATCATGCTTTTCTTTAGGAATTGTAGTGCTATTGAGTTGATTACTATCACCACATAGAGCAAACAAGGTGGGCAATATGGCAAAAATATATCATAATACTTAAGGCATGTTCATGATAGACAGGATATTGTGATGTTTCACTTGTCAGATGTAATGCAACCAGCAAAACACTAGTGGCACATTTATAAAAAGAAAAAATGTCTAGTAAATTAATAAAATTATGTCTAATCAGCCACTTATGCAGTTACTATACACTGGTCGTTGTTTACTCTTGGCCTGTTGACTTTTTATTTATTTTAGTTGTTTTTTTTTGCTGGTAAATGCATAGTTGTGTTATCACAATAATATATCATCATATCACCCATCCCTATCAAAAAGTAACCTAATCATTGCAGCACATCTCTTAACATGACTTTGGTTTCCACAGGAGCTCGCAAATGTTCAGTAAAGAGTGATCCTGTCTCATACTCAAGGTGAGCGATCCTGACACTATTTCAGATTAGGGCCGCATGATATATCAGATTTTTGTTGTTATCACACTCATACATGGAGGGATTGAACCCATCTTTCCGACATGCAGGGTACGTGACTTAACTATTAGGCTAAACGGCCAATTAAAAAACACGTGCACAGCTCAAAAGCTCCTCCATACTGAAGAACAAGCCTGTAAAAACGCATCAAACATTGTCTTTTAAGTGTTTACCTAGTATTGTCTTAAGTGTACAAGGCAGTCATGGCTACTGTCACAACAATATATTTGATAACTAAATATAAATAAACAAATATTTTGTTTTATGTGTGTGGCTATATAAAAAAATAAATATCTATTTGTGGTTTTGTAGCCTTTATAGAAAAAAGCTGTTGAGGTAATGCTGTTTCTCAGCCTTTCAGTGCGCATAAAATGTGCTGCAGTTCTGATGTAAGTCGCTGTTTTGCATGATTGGTGCTTTTGTAACTTTGTATTTTGCTATTCGCTTAAAGAAGAGGATAGTTAAGTTTTAGCTTAAACATCCAAAGTAAAAGTCTATATTCTTGCAGTCAGAAGCACAGTATTTTAATAATAATTTATCGCTTCTCATATCATCGTGATATCTGACAGCATTATCGAACAGCACATATTATGACAATATTATACAGCCCTATTTCAGAATATTGTAGAATTGCAGCAGTTGCAAAATAGATGTAGTCAGATATTATTATTATTATTATTATTATTCCTTATAATAAAGTTCTTGTTATTTTTTTTCTTTCAAGACTTGGAACATCATGGACACAAACTTGAGAAAAAAGGAAAAACTCTACAGCTTCAGAATGAGCTCCTAAATACTGAAAGGGTGCTTTAACAACATACTGTATTTTTAAGACGCAAGATGTTTTAATTTTTTTTAAAGTTACAGATTTTCTTTTTTTTTTTCTACCATACTGTACAGTTGAACTTTGAAGCAAAACTCAATGAAAATGTAAAAAAAGGAAAAAAAAAGTTAATATAATTAAAACAGAGTAAGAAGCCTGGAGCTTTAACATCAGAATTGCTGCTCAGACATAGACTCAGGACTTTCTCACTTGTGAAGATGAGACGAATTCTCCCTTTAAGGACACGTACCTGGAAGTGAGAGGAAAACTCAACCAACATGCTGCATAAGAGGAGAAAGACTGCACTCGTCTCCCAGCTGCAAGCTATGATGTCACCATTCTCACATATCTGTTTAAAACTATCTCAACGGAGCAGACTTTGCTGTTGCTACGTGTGCACTTACACCACAGTTAACCTGGACACACTTGAGGACACCTTTTGAGATTTGCTTTGCTCCCCCCCCACACCCACAACAAACCTCCTTTTTTGATGCCCCCCCCCCACCCTCCAAAACAGTCCCTCCTTTTTGTAACTCCTTGTGGCATTATTCTCTTTTTGTTTTTTCTCTTTTATTCAAACAAAATATAGGCATTTATGTTTCATAATATCATGTATGGCTGTGGATTATTTTACGTGTGAGCTATGTTTGTTTTTAAAGAATTTCCTTGTCAAAAATACTGTGAATTTAAGTTGAACTGTATTATCAGTTATTGTTTTCAGTCCTGTATCAGGAATCCAGTATAGACACTTCTTTTAGTAAAAACCACTCAGCATAATGTAGGCCATGTTCTGACATGTCAGCCCCCCCCCCTTTTTTACAGCAAAAGTAAGTAAAAATGGTATATTCATTCATTTTACTGTAGCATGTCAAAATAAATTTATACATTGTACATTATATACTGATTGAGGGAAAAGGCCTTAATGTCTACAATTGTAATATTTTCTCTCAGTATGTTTACAAATTTTTGTTGGGGTGAATGGATATGTATGCGATGATGGATTGAGTGGCTTTGTATAGGGTGAGGTCTGTTCTCCCCTTTTGGATTAAAAAAAAAAGAAAGACTTGTATGACTGCTACTTCACTGGACATTTATTTGATACAGTGTCAGTTTGTGGATTATTATTAAGCTTTTCCATGTTACTTTTAATCTACTTCCTTTAGCATAAATCTGCTTTAATTATGTTTGTCTTGAGAGTTTTCAAGCTGGGGGCAGGAAGCTTGATACTGCCCTCTCTCAGTTCCTTCTTTAGTCCTGTTTTTACTTATTTAAATTTCACTAACTACACCTAGTGAAGTATAAGATTACTCTTTAAGACTATTTCTTTGATTTTAGTTTGTTATACCACAATGTAGTACTTTGTGGTCATACTTTTATCCTGCTGCCTGACCTTGTTTTAAGCTTCCTGTTGCTGTAACTCCAAGTTATTGAGGCAGGCCAAACACAGTTAAACATTTACTTCACATTTTGAAGTTTGAGATTTAAACTCAGCTATGATTTTCATAGAGAATAAGATTCACCCTGGAATATTTGGAGCAGAATTTGGATTATTTAACTACACTAACGTAGGTCATGGTTAATATTCAACTGGCCTTAGTGTACAGTTGTGGGCTTTATCAAGTCAATAGAATATTTTTATATGAGAGAAATGCCCGTAATTCTCAAAGTATAACAAGTCCCAAAAGCAAAGGTGTATCACTTGATTACAAAACTTTAAGGCATCATACACGTGGGGTGACAACAGACACCAGCAGGAGAAATCTCTTCACATAACTTACACAGACCTTTAAAGATATAAATATAGAAATCAAGGTAGCATGTTACTTCAGCAAAACTTTCTTTTCTTGATACACATTAGACACAACTTAATGACTTGAACATTAAAATTAAAGGAGCCTCAGAAATGCTGAATGACCTTCCACAGTTGAGCAAGCTTGAGCTTGGCTAGTAAATTCTAAAGCTTGACATTTCCAGCATCTCTACTCAACCAGTCCTGCTGATTTACATGACACATAGAAAATAAAAGAGCAATCTGAAATACATTTTAATCATATGATAATGGATTTACTGGACGATGTTTAGTATAAGCATAAGTTCACTCTTAAAAATAAATGTGCCAAAAAGGGTTCTTCGGAGTGATGCCATGGAAGATCCACTTTTGGTTCCCCAAGGAACCTTCCAAAGATCAGTTTCTTCGCAAAAGAGATGTGAGAGTAAAGAACCTTTTTAAAGTTTCAAGAACCAAATGTCCAAGAACCTTTAGAGAACCTTGAATTTAAGTGTTGGTGCTGCAGACAGTTTATGGCTGTTTTGACTACATGTTCCTATTGCAGTCAATGTTTCTGAGGGAAGAGCAGAACATTAAGATGTCAGTTCTGCAGTGAGGATACTGTCTTGTATAAACTAACAATGACCGAAGAGAGAAGTATGTTAAAAATGCTGCTGCAGTCAGCCAGTAGAGGTCAGCGTGGTCTAACTGCCCTCAGTGCCAGGCAGTTTGGAGTCAGAAGGGTTCATACAGTTGTAAGTAAGAAGGAGAAGGACCATTTCACAATCACTGCTGTCCAAAAAGCAAGAAATAAAAGCTACACACACAATACACAAGTAAATACTACTGTCCATTTGTCCATTTTCCACACCAGAAAGACACAAATTCTCTATTTTATCTGGAGATCACACTGAGGTATGCACCAACCGTGGAGGTCTTTGCCTGCTGAGAGTGTTGTCTTTGCTGATGCTAAACCACAGGTCTCTGTCCCCTGCTGTTAACCCCCTCCAGCTTTGGGGTTCCAGAGTGATTAAGAGAGGCTCCCCTGCAGCCGAGCAGCCGGTGGACTCTCCATTAAAGCAAATACTCTGGCAAAGGTCACCCGGCTCTCACTTCTTAGCGGCCACCCGCCGCTTTCTGGTCGCCAGCATTTCGTAGAAAGGGTCCCTGCTGATGCTGGCCCTGCAAAGAACAGAGGAAAAAATTAATTAATGTCTATAATCCTGTTTCGCTCGCATAAGAACTACAATGGAGTGTTTTCAGGCTATATTGTTCTGTTTACTACTGACACTAGCAAAGTTTTATCTCCAGTTTACTTGTTTTTCTTTCACTTAAGACTTCAAATGAAAATCTCTATATTTCAAAACAGATTTGTTATTCTGTAATCTACATACCCATGCGGAAAAAATACATGGGCATGTGTTTTTTTTACATGTGAGAGACACTTCAAATACAGTTTAATTCAAAAATGTATTCCAAACTTAATATATGTTAAATAGAAATTACATTATTCAGCATTTAAAATGACATTTGACATATAAAAAGAACGTACAGCACAGTGTAAAGGTCTAAGGCATGTAAGCACATTATTTAAAACCATGTTTCTTGGCAAAATGTTTGTTCTTGTAAACACAATCTATCATTAGAATAGATGCAAATAAACCTAGAGTAAAAACTAATAAGAATCTCTTACTGTCATAAAAGTAGTTGATGTCTTGTGAGCTATTTTGGAGAACAGTTTGGTTTCAGATTTTTCCTGGATGCCCCCAGTCAGCACTTAGATTTGTAAAATTCCATCACCAGCTCACTTGATTTAACTTAATGAAGCAAAGCTAAAACAGGTATTAAATGATAACCACAAACATTACTGGGCTGCCATGAAAAGAGGCCTGGAAATGTTTACATAATTACAGTGACATACTTAAAATCACTAATTTTTAAATTAATTTTAAATAAATTACTTGTATTTACACTATTTGTGTTTTCTGAGCACATAAACATTTACTGCCTAGACAAGCAGCTTTTTAACTGTAACTTAAGCAGATGCCTAAAATTTTTGCACAGTATTGTACATCTCCAAAATGGTTATTTTTACAGGGGAAGGTAAAAACCTTCTTAATTCTTGATGTAACTAGATTTTATTTTGAGTAATTCTGGAGCATTTCTATTGGTCCATTCATCATAAAACAGACAAACAATGTAAAAGGCAACAATTTATTTTCCATGTGCATATGTTTGGAAATCATGACATCTTTTTCACATCAGTTGATTAAGCACCAAAACCTGGACTAATCTAAACACTAATGGGTGTGACACCAAGAACAGAGAGGAGAATAATCCCTGGATTTATTTATCTGCAAAGTTCTTAATTTCACCTGTACATCTACATTCAAGCTCACAGAATAAAGTAGCAAAAAAAGGATTCTCTGTGTGGTGACAATGGCCTTGAAACACAGCAACACAAATGATACTTTAACCAGCTGTAAGCCAGCCAGTGTTGTGGAAAAGTCTGTCTCAGTTCATTTTCAAATCTGTTATTTGTCTGTGATTATTTCTTGATCAGGTTAATGTTCAAAATAAAATACCCCATTTTGAAAAGTGCATTAGTGTTTAGGGGGCTACTTTCATTCTTTACATTTGAGTGCACACTTCAACTGTACTTCTGAAACTGTACTGCACCTTCACTTGGGTAAAGAATTTGTGTACGTTTGTCACATCTAGACACTAGACAAATACAATTTCTGGGAAAACAGGAGCTCTAAAATCCCCAAACACATTGTGTTAGTGAAGGTTTAAGCAGATTTTTCAAAATGTCTACATAATTAAATGGTCAAAATGTAAACAAAGTCATTCAGATTGGTTTGATGTAAAACACTGTTCTAGAGAAACATCTTGAGTCAGAATTGGTCATAGTGGTGGTGAAAGGAAGCAGACGTCTGAACAGTTTTTGCCTCTAAAACCTCCCTCACAGAAAGTTATTGTATGGTTATGGCTATGTCAGACACGCTTTAAGAAAGTTTTGTTGCCTAAAATATAAACTGCATATATTTAAGTATTCAGTATAAGCTGGCAAGTTTCTCTACAATGAGTCGTTTCACATCAAACCACTCTTAATGACTTTGTTTACATCTCAATGACTGAATTATAGAGAAATTTTTAAAATCAGTGGAAATCCCCTTTAAGGTACTGTGGTGGGCAGGAGGGGCGAAAGGCCCCTGGGTTCCCGGCACTTCCACAGGACATGCTGAGGCAGCCTTTACTATACAAACAGTCTGCACTGACCACAGTGGAGAGAGACATGCTATAATAACAGTGAGGGAACGCATCGCCTGAATGCTCACACAGAGCAGTTCCCCACAATGACATATAATTCACAGTTACCTTCAAATCAGCTGTAGCTGTAAAAATGCCATTTGTACATTCCATGTTTCAGAGTCACAATCAGGCTTTATTGTTACACAGTAGTTGACAAATGCACATTTTCACAAAAAAATGTGCAAGTATTATGTATAAAGGGCAGTATTCAGCAGTCAGATCATTTGTCTTGAAAAACAGGGGTGCAATGTGTCAGTGATTCCTGTCTGCATACATTTTTCCTGAGTGTGATGGGACAACGAAAGAGACTTTCCAGAGTCTGGCAGGTTTAACTTCTTAAGGCTGAAGCAATACCTTAAAAGACAAAATTGAGCCCTTCATTCAGAAATACTTTCATATGTGACGAAGGGTCCACTTTAGTTCTTATAGGAAAAGAGCTACAGAATAAGTGAAGGTAAAGTTTAGCTTTGCTCTCTCCAACAATAAGAGCAGTTTTATCCACCGGAAATCCACTGGTCTTACAGAGAAGTCCAGTCACCCTGGGCCCAGCACGCTTATCATCTCCACAGTGTGAGAAAGTGATTGTGCCCCTCACAATCAAGAGCACACCAGCAACTCTGGCAGTGAGCCATGTTCTTCCTTTAGCATTATCACTACAGTGAAGGAAAAGCCTGAAGTCACGAGTTAATCCACTGTGTACAATATATGCATTTTATGTGTATGTTTTTGTATTATGCATTGTCCAATTTGTATGTACCAGTTGTCCAGGACAAATTCCTATTACTGTGCAAAATGCACTTCTCCAAATAAGTGTCCTGATTCTGAGGTGTGGGCATAGCGTTTTTCAGCTACAGTATTACGAAATGCAATGGAAATACCTCATAAAGATGCACTGACCAGCCACTTCACTTAGTTTACCTTCTTGTGTCTAAACTCGTTGTCTATTTTGTCAGCTCCATTTACAGGAGCACTTTGTAGTTCTACAACTATAGACTGTAGTCCATCTGTTTCTCTTCATACTTTGTTAGTCCCCTTCTAGCCTGTTTTTCAATGCTCAGGACCCTCACAGGACCCGCACAGAGCAGGAGTTATGTGGGTGGTGGATCATTCTTGAAACTGCAGTGATACTGACGTGGTGATGGCATGTTAGTGTGTGTTGTGTTAGTAGTAGATCAGATGCAGCAGTGATGCTACAGTTGTAAACACTGTGTCCACTTACTGTCCACTGTCTTCACCTTTAGATGCAAAGTCAGAGACAGTAGCTCATATGTTGCTGTGTTTGTATTAGTCATGCTCTAGTCCTTCATCAGTAGACATTAGACATAGGACCCTGTTGGCTGGATGTTTTTGGTTGGTGGACTATTCTCAGTCCAGCAGTGACACTGAGGTGTTTAAAAACTCCAGCAGCACTGCTGTGTCTGATCCACTCATACTAGTTTAGTCATATAATGGAGAATCTCATTTCCCTGCTAGCAGAAATTCTCGTTGTGATAAACAGAGGCTGCTAATAAAGTAAACGTTTCCGCATTAAGCACTGTTATATACTAACGCTACAGGTTCTACAGGTTTCCATGCTGTATCTTATGTTGGAGCGGCTTCACAGCTCTTGGTAAAGGTATCAGTGTTCTATGGCAGGTTCTCAACTTTTGCTAATAGTCCTGTATGATAGTAATACACAGTGAGCATCATGTGAACAAGTCTATTTTTAATTATTCTTTCATTGCAAATATAGCATGTATGTACCTGTACCCGTATTTAAACCCGTATTTAAAATGACATCAAGAACTTATCTTTATAACATTAAGAACATTTTAAAAAATGCCTTGTTTTTGTGAAGTTTATTTTTTGAAATACTGGCACATGCCTAGCTAGCCTAGCTGCACCTCAAACTGCATACTACCATACTAAATAGTATGTCAAAAACAGTAAACCACCATTAGCATACACAATATGCATATATGTGGGCGGAGCGTCCAAGACCAAGAGGGGTTTCACACTTCCTTTTTTTGAATAATGCTTCTCACAGTGAATCTCCCTGTTGCTAAGCATTAACAGTGTCTGAACTGTCAGTCAGCTGTGCTAGCCAGCTATCGTTTCAACACGTACAGGCAGAACGTTTAACTACTACTATTAACTAGCAAGCATGGTGCTGCCTTTTGCTTTCTGTCATGATTTCAATCCACGAGGTAGTTCAACTACTAATTCCCCTCCATTACAACTGTCACTGATCTGATACAGTACAGCAAAAATGCTCATGACATAGGCTACTAGATTGCTTTGAGTAGCACTCCACACAAAAGACAGCTGCACAGGGCTCATTAAACGCAAGATGTTTAGCACGGAAATACGGTGAGCAAAACCTGTCCCTCGCATTGAAAAATACTGGAAATAAGTGCCTTGGTCTCACAGTATGATACCCTCCTAAGTCATGAGAGACACTGGTCATAGCAATGTGCATGAGTCTTACTTGATGGATTTGATCCACTCCTCCTTCTCCTCAGGTGTAGGGGCTGATATTCTGTACACCACGTGGTTCCCCTCCACCACTCTGCCGTCCGCCTCCGTCTTACACGCCTTGATCACTTGTCCTTTATGGCTCGGGTTGTAGAGCTCAAAGCAGTTCTACAAGATTAAATGGGCAAACCTTTACTACCACTTACAATCTGGTTTACAGTGACATGCTCATAACATTGTTTGTCACAAAGGGATGACTAACATGGGGATTTAAGCAGTGCTTACTGGTTTTCTTGGCTCCTCCACTTCTCTTATGCTGAGGTTCTCAAGTGGAATGATCCCTCTCGGCTCCTTGTCCTGGGCATATATGAGTAATATTCCAGTCATTCTAATTTAAAGTGGTCTTTCAGCCAAAAATGTACACAGTTTTTCAGCTAAGACATGTTTGGTTTCTTAAGTTTGTTTCTTTAATTTTGCACTAGGCTAATGAAGTTAACAAATTGTGTTTCTACTTCTTAAGTTTTTACTCCACCAGTTAGAAACATGCAAACTCTTATGTAATCTCAAATAGGCTTGTCTATGTGGTTTCTAAATCTCTGACAATGACATACTATTATCTAAAAGACTGGACACGATTTAACTGAAAACAATAGTAGCAGCCACACTGAAGCCTGACTTTTATCTGTACTTTAGGCCATTTTCATATATAACAGTATGTCATAGAGTGTCAGAAACCACATAAGCTAGTCTATTCAAAATAACTTAACTACTCAACACAGTTTGAATCAAGTGTGTAATGATTGCTAGGCCCTGGCTATGCTGTCCCAGGGGGTTCCTATGGTATTGCTAGGCCATGGCAATGGTATCCCATGTGGTTGCTAAGATGATGCTAGCTTACTTATATGATGGCGACATAAGAGAAGTGTCCAAAAACATTTGGCTACAAAATGTGTACTGAATGTGGTGGAATAATAGATAGACATTTTGTATTATATAAGTGGAATTATTCAGTTTCAGAATGCTAAGCATTCATTCCTAAAAAAGAAAGAAATGTGTTTAAACGAACACTGTACAAACACAAAGTCAAATGAGTTAAAAAAGCACAAGCAACCTAATCGAGTATAGACTCTACAATCCTGCAAGGTTTTCATGGTTCTAGCTCGAAAGCTGTAGGAGGAGAAGCTTTGCACATTTTTGACCATAGAATTAAAATAAAAAGAAAATAAAGTTAAATGCATAAATGAATGAAGAAATGTAAGTCGTTTTTTTCGAGTTGAGTAACTGGATAGTGTGAACTATTTTCAGCGACGCTATGTCACACTGAAAGGCTCAAAGGTGTGCAGAGCTTACAACTGCTTGATAATAGCATTTAGCTTGTTAAACAATCGTTTGTCTCCCATCGGACTGATTAAACTAGTGCACAGAAACGCAGATAGCTGAGAGGTGAGATTCTGAAATCTATAGTGATTTTAGCCAGTGGTTGTCTTTAGCTTCATCAGTCCTCTTTGGTTTAATGTGCAGATCACATAAATGCTGCATGTAACTCAGTGATTTTTTTGGCTGAGCCATTAGTTTTAAAGTGTTCATTTGTCATTAAAACAATTAGTCTGAGGACTTATACTGCAACATGTTCACAGGGTGTAGTAGGAGGAGCTTACGAAAGACTGGGATTAAGACAGTGGAGAAACAGATTGCAACAGCTATTATTTGTCTCCGGGTCTAAATCTGGCACACTATTGCTGAAGAAAAGCACTATTTCTCAGCTGCTGATGAGAACGCACAGCAGGGTGGTGATTGCCTTGGGAATGCCAGCTCAGCTCTCACGAGCTGGTGGACTTGCTTTAAACTGGCCACATGTTTTACTGGACCCTCTCCAGATGTTACAGCTGTGCTGGGTTAACCGCTGAGGGCACAAAGGAAAGCATCTCATCTGATAAACCAACCACAAAGATAAATGGGATTTCTCTCACATTCCTTTACTCTTCTTTACTCTTCCACTGTCCTCCTTCACACGCACACCCTTCTCAACTCGTGATGTTTGTGTCTGTTACTAAAACCTGTTTCATTTTTCCTTCATATTTCAATCCTCACAATACAAAAATGATCAGTGCTTGTGCGCCATTACTTACAGTTGTATATTCAAAGTAGTACAGGCAGTTGTCAGTGAGAATGAACCATCTCCTTTTCCATGTCTTCACTCTACCTCCTGCAAGAAGTAGTAATAATATTGTCAGGCATATTAATTCACAAATAAAATAAAATAAAATAAAATAAAATAAAATAAAAAGACAAACAAAACGTTTGGAATTATTTACCCCAAGGCTGCAAATGGTAGGGAACTGACTGCTGTTCATCCAAAGACTTGAATAATATCACTCATAAATATTGTTAAAAGGATACATACTATTAATAATTAAATCATGTTTTCTCCTAATACCAGCCCAAAGCCCCTTACTATCATAAACAATAGATAAATCCAGGTGTGCATGTACCCACACTTAATACATCAGTGCTAAATAGCCATTCTGTATGCCTCAAAATTGTTAAGACTCCGTATTATGGCAAAAAGTGAGGAAGTGCTAGTTGCAAAAGTGAGTAATAATTCCCAGGATTAGTAATGTTATCCCTCACTGCTTTTATTTATTTATAGTCCTGACTCTTTAAATGGCTGTGACTATTTCATAGACAAAGAACCCTGTATTTCATGTTGAGTAATATTTCCAAAAAGTTCCACAGCAACAGTAGTTGACCACCATGACTGGCTTTTCTCAGAACATATTCTTCATCACTGAGGTAGACCAAAGGATGAGACATACTCCACATATTATCTGGGGCACCCTAAATAGGTGTGCTTTGTCATGCCATAAATTGCCTCTCCCAAGTGTAACAGGCTGATTATTCTGGGTGAGCTTTGCAAAGATTTCTGTCCTGCCACACCGAATATGACGCAACCCCCTCGGCTGGTTGCGTGCAATCTCTTGCATGTCATAGATAAAGCAGGGAAAGGTAAGAATAAAATGTCACAGGTAAAAGGCTGCCTTTTTCCACTGTAATCTCACAGTGGCAATCAAACAGCTAAAAAGGACTCACTGTGGCACACTTTCTCCAGTCAACAAAACCTGCATAGAGGGTAATATAACTGTGCCAGAAGAAGGCGACTTTTAGCTTCAGTGGGGAAAATATATTTTACCTGATAAAAGAGAAATAAGAAGCATAGTACTGTACAAATACTATTAAATATATACACTGTATTTCTATGACTTGGGGAAAAATACAGTACTGCGCAAAAGTCAGAGACCGTCCTCTATTCATGTAATTTCCAGTCAAAACAGCCTTTAAGTACAAAACAGTTATTTTTCAGCATCAGAAAAAAGCAAAGAAAGGTTACACAGATGTCTCAACAACTAAATATAATTTTTTTTCAGTTTTAGCGAAGGATGGACAGAACCTGTGGATTTTTGTAGATCTGTAGGAAGAATGGAGCCTGATTTTCTCCTATCTCTGAAAGATGGGATAGGGATCATAGAGATGAATTTTTCCTCATCTTCTTGATAAAAAGGACCTTAATGTAGTATGTAAACACTACTAAAGTTCCAGTACAGTACAGTCCATGTATGGAAACTAAGCTGCAAAATTAGCCCGTTTTGAATTCAGTGTTTCTGTGATATCGCGAAAACCAGCACATTACTGAATAATTGCTATTCAGCCTACAGCCTACCTTTTTTCATCTTCTCCTGAAAACTGAGTGATTTGATGGAGCTTTAAATAAATGTTTTAAATAAATAAAATAAATAAATTAATAAATGGTCTCTACATGGTCTCTAACTTTTGCACAGCTGTATATGCTCATAAAAGTATCATGTATTTAACCAACAATACGGTGTCTTTGAACTTTAAGTGATATGTACTGGTGCGCAAATCATTTAAGTATCTGTATGTTATTGGTTCACAGACCTAGCTTCAGCAGCCATCCTTCCCTGTCTGGATTGAAGAATGTGTGCGTTAGGTCATTGCCATCATCTTCAGGAATTTTGAATGGTTCATTTTTAATGCTTTCATATAAATTCTGCAAAATAAAGAAAACATGAAAAATACTGGTTACTTATGTGTTGATAACACATGTAGATGTAAGATATATGAACATAGAACGTATTATGTGTGCGTATGCCATGAGGCTCACCCTGAGCAGCTCCTCGGGCAGGTCACCGCCTTCATTGATGCCACGATTCATGGAGATAAACCTCTCGGCGGTGGGTTTGTCTCTGACATTGGGGTTGTGCAGGCTGGTGTTGAGCATTATGATGGCGAATGACAAGACGTAGCATGTGTCTGTAGAGCAAATAGACCTCAGTCAGCCAACAGAGAGCTCCCACTAAACTCAGGTGTCCATGGGATTATTCAAAGAAAAACATGATATTACTTTTATGGATTTGGGGATTGTATGGTGTAATTCAAATATCTGCCCCAATTTAAAGGAACAGTTAAGCAAAAAACAGTTTTACACAGTTTCTTTTTACCCCAAATGTACTCCATCTGCCAAGATAAGCTATGAAGCTAATGTAGCTAATGAGTACTGGAAGAGGAACCTCACAAACTGCATGTGTAAACCATCTCAGACTTGCTTCAAACCAAGTCAAGCTGTTAAGTAATCTTAAATAGACTCGCTTATATGGTTTCTGACACTGTACACTGTAATACATTTCTGCAATTTAGTACAACCTGGTGTTTTTTAAATTCCCATGTTATTGCACGGTTATTATGGAATGGATTATGGGAGCTGGTGTCTATTAGTAACACTTTTTCTGTATAATTTACAATAACTATTCCCCTGAAATCTCTCTCTGAAAAAGAAAAAATGAGGACATAGTGACATTTTGAAATATTAACACAAAATCTTCTCTAGCAAAAAAAACAACCTTTTTTCCAAAAACAGCAACTTTACAATGCAAGCTTATAGAGCAAGTTAATGTAGAGATTTTTTACCAGGTCATATAGTAGACTTGTTTGGCTTTGATGGTCAGTAAGAGTCAGTGCATTAGTAAACTGGTGTTGTGGGTTGTGCATAGCTAAAATAGCTGTAGAGTGTACCCTCCAAATGTCAGGTCAGTGTTGCTGGGGCTCTCTGGTAGTGGACCCTGATGTAAATACATCATCTCCACCACAGTACTTCACCAGTGAGTAAACATGTAAAAAGTCCTGACAATTGAACTGACCTTCACAACATTTACTCTCATTTGTTCTCAAGTGTAATAATTTAGGCTTACCAGTTATACAATGCAAATCTGTGGTCTAAAGCTTCCATTACTCATCAGCTACATTAGTTTTGTAGCTTGTGTGCAAAACTAAAGATGCAAACTTTGAACACCAAACATGTCTTGATTAACTACATTTGGAGGAAAGCAGTGTAAATCTGTTTTTGTTTGCCAAACTATTCCTTTAAGGCCAAACCTATTTTTTGGAACTTGGAAAAAGACATCCTGATGCCCTGGCACGCAGAAGGCTCTAATTCTAAAATAATAAATGATAGTTCAGGGCTTCTTCCTGGCATGCAGTCCTTAGTCTCAGTGCCAGAATACTGCATTCTGTAGAGTTTCATGCTGTGCCTGAGCCAACTCCAGCACTATTTATCCCTGCAGTTATAAGGCTGCACCCTCCACAGATCTCTAATTTAAACTTATTCTCACAGAAGAGGGGATGTAACTAGTGCATGCACGCGGTGCTAAATTATTCATGCCACACATGAGATGTTATTGTATGAAGTGCTCTCTTCTTATATGCCTTTGATCATATATGGCTTCTTTGAGCTGCGTCCCATTTTCGGTTAAACCTTTATAAGTCACATATCGCCAGTGATAGCAAAAGCATTGTACAATTCAGTTTTAATTATTTCTCATTTGTAGGTCATTGAAACAAGCAGAGAAACAAGATTTTTACAGAAAAAAATTTGAGTATTTTGGAAGAACAGCAGGCATTTTTACATTCTTAAATAAAAAAAAACAAACAAAAAAAAACAAAAAAAAACAAAAATGGAGCTTTTATTCTGACAGTAACTATATTTACTGCCTTTGATCAGCATACCAAAACCAAATTTATTACTCTCAACGTTTAATAATTAAAGACATTTTGTATAACGTTATTCAGGCTGGAGTTTTTTTTTGTTTTTTTAGGATGCTGACCTGAGGACTGGAAGACGCCTGGATTGCACTGGCAGTATCGCGATGCAAAAGCCTCCATCATCCGATCAATTTTCTGAGCCTCACCCGGCAGCCTGAAGCTCCACAGAAATTGCCTGACACAGAGAATAGAGATGAGATATCAAATGATGATAGACATCTAATATTCCTGGCATCCTTTCCTGGAACTTAAAGAAAAATATGACAGAAATGTAAAAACTGAAAGAGTTACGCTTTCACACAAAACCTTTCAATCACGTGCATATTGCTTGTCTACACAAACACATGCCTGATACTGATTAATGCACAAAATGCAAGAAATGTGAGAGGAATATATAATTATGTACATTCTCTTCATTTTTTATTTTCAATAGCCATAATGCAGTGTGCAGTTACGTTGTAAGCAGTTTGTGGCTGAGTTGCTCACCTCAGAGCTTGCACCAAGTTGAGGTCTGCAAATTCATGAAGCTCCACAAAGGCCTGTAGAACTTTGATGTTGAAATCGTCCCTGAGAATGGACAGAAAGGAATTCTATTCAAGAATGTTTTTTCTCAACCATTTGTAGATGCTTGTGATATTACTTGATTCTGAAAATCATTTTGGGAAATAATTTTAGGGAGGAGCCTGCTTACAAGTTGGGGGGCCTTTTAGCGTTACTGACAGTGTCATGCAGCCATGTAAATGCAGCCATGGTTATGGCCGAAAATCTATTATTTATTTAAGATAGAAAACAGTAATGAGATTGCAAGAAAACAGCGTTAGCCCATGATGACCTTACATTTTGTATTATTTCACTGGCATTGGGTGAACTTTTTTTAAGGATCAGAAATCTGGAGGAGCCTGGCTTTCAAGTGGGAAGGACAGCTCCTCCCAGGGCCACTTCGTAGCTATCCCCTTGTATTATACACCTCCATAGTTTGCATCAGTTAGAGTATAATTTGTGAAATAAGTCTATGTGTATTTATAGTCTCTATATACAGTAGAGCTGTAATCATTGATCATATTAGTTAACTAATAATCTAACAATTATGTTGACAGTTAACTGAGTAATCAGAGTTTCAAAAATGCTGAACAATAAGACTGAAGAAAAACAAAAATATGCACAGCTTTTTAAAAGTTCCAAATTAAAATACTTCATTAAAAAATAAAAAAAAAACAATATTTGGTAAAAAAGTGTGTCAAACTGGAGGAGGAAGAGGTTAGTAGAAGAATCAAGGTAATTTTAAATCATTTTTTTTTATTAGAGTAATCCAGTTTATTTGATTACTTACAACAGGCATAACATACACCATTAAAGTGAATCACTGACTGCATTTTTATTTTTGCATCTAAATTACATTAACGATGAAAAAACTGTTGCTGTCAATCAATAGTGTAAATTACAGGAACATCAGTGCTAAAAAGGGGTGTGAGCGCTCACTCATGTTTACTATTTTTATTTGGTATCTGTGGCTGTAAAATAACTAAGTGTACAGAACATATGGGCAATAAAATGACAGACGGTGAGAAATGGAGTGATTTACCACAGCTGGATTTGCACAATCTAAGGCACGTTTCCACTCTGCACTGCCTCTTTAATTACAACCTCACTAATAATAGGGTTAAGCACCACTTGCAAATACAATTAGCAGTAATTGCTAACTGTGGCTCTTCCACTGCTGTTTACAGTCTGAGGGAAATGAAAAGGATGACTCTTTGATGATGGCGCCCAGGCTGGTGTAGAGTGAGGCTGTTCTTATGGTTATTACCAGACTGGACTGTGTGCCTAAGCAGACATGGCACTATTTACTTCTGGCCATGCTTCTTTATTTGTTTTATTCCACCGCCTTCTTTCATTTCCTTTCCCTGGCCAATCATCAATTATTTCACTATATTTGGTCTAGCTTCTTTTCAAATGTTGCACTCAGTCACACAACTGTTCTTGAGTAAAATCACTGAGGAGCAGTCTGCCACTCTGCAGGTCCAAAATGATATTTTTTGACTACAACTTGGCCTTCAATTATTTTTCTTATTTTAGACATTACTTTCTAGGGATGGGTGCTTACCAGTTTTAATGATATACCAAAGCAATAATAATACTCCAGTGTCAAATTTGAATAATTCGGATAACTTTTCTGTCTTTTTAAAAAGTGACAGTGGTAATTAATAGCCTAATGCTACAGCCTCCCTGCAAAGCATGCACAAGGGTAACACAAGCTTACATAGTTATGATCTAATTTCATATTTATTTAAATAGTTGTTGACTTTTGCTGCTATAAAGGAATGCAGGAAGTTCAATATAAAGTCCATAAATATCATACCTGTGGTGAACTGATTTCAGGTTAATTAACAAAGGAAGGGTAAGCAACAAAGAACTTACAATCATAAGTTTAGCATGACTTTGATGGTGCCTTCCAAATTCCTTAGCAGTTTTTGGTTCATACTTTTTAATCAATTCTCTACATAATATTTTTTTTTTGTGTTAGAAGGGCTGAGTATTGAAATTTAATACTTCTAAGGCAATGACTGAATTACTTTAGTATTGAACAAATTATGTCATTTCATACCAAATTTCAATAGCCAAGTAGTCACTCTTATGATCTCCTGTGAGCCAATAAGAATATTTGTTCCAAAAAGGTGACCGCTGATTCACTGTCCAAATTGCATTCCATATGCATGCTATCAACATCAGAGCTTCTTGACTAGTCTGCAATACATTGTGGTTAGTAAATATACCCACTACCAGCACCTCACACTCATTTCTGCTCACTTTTGGTTTGTAATTTAACAAGGACACACAAGCTGTGCAGCAAGAAAGGTGGGACTGTCCTATGTAATTTGTATTACATAATGCCAAACAGAACGGTCTACCACTGCTGCTTTGTCATCAGCAAGAAGTTGGCACACAAAATATAATTAAAGAAAATACTGTTGATGTGAATGATAAGCTGGTAGGTAAAACATTGATGTTTGTTTTGTAAACTCGCCGAAAACAGGTGCACTTCACACCCTACATTCAATTTACAGCCTCTTAAACAGATACAGAACTAAAGAAATTACTTTGTATTAACATAAGTTACATTTTTAAAGATAAGTTACCATTTCAACTTAAACATGATCTTGAAATGAGCTTCTGTCTGGACTGAGTACTGATCAAAATCTTTTGTTATTCATACCAACAACTTCGATATCCATTCCTGAATCATACTTTTTTGATTCCTGCTTTTAAATGCAAACAACATATTGAGTTAAAAGTCATATACTGTTTCAAAGTAAAGACTATATTTAAAAAAACATTCTTTAGAATTTAAGAGGTGCTAACATTAATAATATTCATTATTTAGACAGCAAATCAACAGTCTATATAAATGTCAATATAAATGTCTCAACAAAAGAAGAGTTTTATTCCACAATGCTGTATATCTACTGGTAACAATTTTGGGTATAACAAGTTTTTGAAAAGAAATAACAGCTGACATATAATGGAAAAAACATTTCTATTTGTCTAACAAAGATAGTATTAATCATAATATAGCACTGATATTTCTTGTATATGAAAAGCCCACTCCCAACAACATATATCATGAAGAATCCACACTGATTTTACCTGAATATTAAAGGCAGCAGGAAAACTTTAGTTTTTAACTGGAAGTACTTTTCAATTTTACAGTGCATTTGCAATGTGCTTTAGACAGTTTATTTTAACAAGACTACTATAATACCAGAAATTGTGATCATTTTGGCCATTAATGTGACATTTATGGCCCTACTGTTTGCTATTGCATCCTATGTAAAGAGATGTGGACAGTTAACAGATGGGGATCAGGAAACTGTGTTTGAGAGCAATAATGTTTACTGTAGGTTCGCTGCTGAGATGTGGTACGGGGAACATATCAGGGAGATAAGATGTTGGCATGTTGTCAGGGTAAGCAGTTTGATGGGGTTGAGGAAATTTTCATCTGTTTCAATGAGGGAGCTCATTTTCGGAGTGGTGAGGCTGATACATGGAAGAGACTTAGCAAGAAATAAATGTTTAATAAAGCTGATTGAAGGAGAGGTGAGACATGTTTTGCTGATAAAAAGCAATGGCTTACCTTTCCCCTAAATAATCTCCAATGACTGTTTTATTCAAGCCTTCTCCTTTGTATAGAAACTGGGCAATGTCTTCAGGTGTGTGCTGCAAAAGGTCATTGTCCAAAAGAAACTGGATTCCCTGAAAATAAGAGGTTACATGTCTTAGGGCGTTTCACTCCTACCTTGTTTGGTGTGGACAACTCAAACTTTTTCTTTAGTTTGGTCCATTCTGACAAGGGTGAAAACTCCACCTGTACTACGAGCGTGCGCTAAACAACTGTACTGTGGTCTGTAGTCTGTTATAAAATGAGGGTCTCTGTCCACTACCAGTGAACCCTGATTCAGTTCTGCTTAGAAGGCATTTTTACAAAGGTCTGCACCAAATGAGGGAGTTAAACATCAGATCATGCTTTTTTAGTGCATATTAGCACTGTACTGTCTACATAGTCTGCCTGTTTCAACATTTGACTGTTAACAGATGCTCATATCCTTCTGGCAGCACAAGCTGCTGTTAATAACAGCAGACGAGCAATAAAATAATTGTGAAGAAATGCATTTGCACATGGAACTTATTTTGGCCAAGCATAAATAAGCGACCTGACAAATCATTCAATCATAAAGGAGCAGAGCTGAAGTAAGGTTTATTGTTATTTCTTTGATTCTGATACACATAGATGTAAACTGTAATACAAATAGGGTATTACATTAATAGCAAGGATATATTTGAGAGGTAGATATGGATTTTCTACAGCGAAATGTTTAGTGAACGTTAGACATTTTTGGGTCTAATGCATGCAAACACAATATTAGTAACAGAGTGCCAAATCTCTGACCAATCAACGAACACCCACGTGTGTAATTTGGTTCACTTCAGCCACCGCAATGTGAAACCAATCGAATCAAATGAAAGGGATATAATGTCACAAAAACTCAAACTCTTGTGCAGTATTTTGAAAACAAACTAGGTGTGAACAGTCTTTTTTTTCCAAAATCTGCTTAAATGCTTGATTACATTTTATATGAACGGCAGTGTACCGCTGAATCAAACAACATTTAACAGGCCCATCACAGTAAATACCTTTTTAGGATCCATATTGAATTTCTTTCTTCCAATAGCAATCTGCTTATTCCTCTGAGTGGCTTTGCTGTGTCGAAAAAGATTTTGCAACAAGTCATTAATGACGATTAACATTCCTTTTTTAGCTCTGACCTGCTATATAGAAATAATAAAAACCCTTAACAACAAAAAGTCATTAAACAAACAGCCTGTGTTTATACACTTACCACTCTCCCATGCATGTTAACTGCTCAATCTCTGTCATCACCTCAGCTATCTCAAACTTTAAACGCTGCAAGAGACAAAAAAGGTGTCACCTTTAGGGAATCTGTGGTTATAGCTGTTTATCCAGGTAATAATTGCTATAAAGCAAGTTGAATTATACATACTTCAATGTCATCAAGCAATTCTTTTTTCCTTCGACGAATGTTGGACAGTTCATCTCTTTCTTCGAGAGAGAGATCTTCAGGTACTATTGAAAGAAAGGAAAACAAAACAACGAGGTTAATCCTTAAGTCCTTAAATGGTAAAAGTTTTATGACACTCTTCTGTAACGAAGAATAACTCCGTCAGTTTGCATTTAGACACTGAAAAATAAGAATGAGATTTTAAGGGGTTAAATGACCAGCAGTTGCCGTCTGCCGCCGTTTGTTTCTTTATATTAACTTATTACCTACGCTGCAGTTTTTACGAGAATGTTTACTTATTTGTTTGTTTGTCTGTTTTGTCTGTTTATCTTTTTTGTTTATACTTATTCATTTATTCATAAGGAAAAAACTTAATAGATACAACATTACTAAAACTAAAAAATGTCCTATAATACTCTGAAATTTCTGAGTATCTTAACTAATCACATAACAGCATCATCCAACATATTACTGAAAGCGCCTGAGGAAACTATGAAGCATCACATTACGGTAACTGAGGAAGCGCAGAAGTTCACGGTCAGATAAGGTGGAAACTATTTCTCTTTGTATCGTGTATCATATTCACACATACTGTGGCTTAATTCAATTGTATAAATTGCTGACACCACGTCAGACAGACTTAAAGATAATTACTGCCATTTAATACCTTTTACATCAGCCTTTAAGCAGCTTTACTTACTCATTTGGTTGTACATTTCCCCATATTGTCACATTTTTTTTTTACACTGTTGTGTAAAAAAGCTGCCCTTTACACTGTGTGAACCTTTAATGATAGATGGACCAATAAAAACGGTCCAAAGTTGTTTGAAAAAAATCATATTATGTTAATGTAAAGTTACTTTTTTAAAGTTACGTTTCTAAAGCTAAGTCACTATTTCCACTCATACACAGAATTCTGCTTGACATGAGCTTCTGCCTAGGGCTGAGTACAGATTAAAATGTTTTAATACCAGTGTTGATACCTTGACTTTGATACTTATTCCTGATGATACTTCTTTTAAAATATTTTTTAAATATTGTATTAAATACAAATATTGAGTTATAAGTCCTATATTGTTAAAAAAAATAAAAAATGTACTTAAATACTTAAATTTTTTACTTAAGGAGTGCTACCCTAAATATTATGCTTAGGGAATGTAATCCAGACAGCCACCAGTCTAGATTTTAGAACAAGTATGCTTGTTGGTTCACTGGTTCTGATTGGCTATATTGGTATTTGGAATTGAATGTAATTTTTCATTATTCAGTATAGGGGCAAAATTCTATGACACACATACATCTATATGAGAAACATATGAGGAAAATATGAGAACAATCATTTCTGTTCAATGTTTCACATACTGTTCTTAATCCAATTAAACATCAATAATTATGCGCTCTTTGTTATTAAACATTAAAAACGCAATTTTTCAGTGTTCTTTAAGTAGTACTGATATCAATGATATGGTGAAAAAAGCATATTGTGATACAATTGATCACAATAGTGATAAACACCATTTTACTACCCTCTCCTACTCAATAGTATGAAATAATTTTGTCAGTTGCGGTGTTGACTTTTGATACCCAGCCCGACTTCTGGCGAATTTCTGTGCTCAGTTTACACGGTTATGGCAAATATGAACACGTTTTGTCCACACCTGGTTATGTAATAGAGCCTGAAGCACAGTACAATTGCACAGAGGAGCTAGAAAGTGAGGTGCTCAGGGATTTCCTGCTGTTCTCTGACTCAACCTTCTAACAATAGAGGGAAAGTAGACATTTAATAAAACAAAGTTCAATGTTAACAATAGCTCTTTTTGGTTCACTCAGACTGCTCACCTCAGGCATGTCAAGCTTTCATGTAATGTAACCTCCTTTTGTCTGTTTAAGAGGCCTTATTCAATCTTAATTAGGAGCCATTTGTTCATTACACAACAGAATCTGGAGCTGGTCAGCAGCGTCTGTTATGGAAGAACAGGCCTGAGGCACAAACTCGTGTCTGGCTGTGTCTTTAACTTGAAAATGAAGCTGACTGAAGCTGAACTGATTAGGTTAAAATCTCCTGTTCTCCTGTTGTGTAGCCTACATTTTGGATGGAAATGTCTTACAGATCAGACTGCAAGTCAAATCTCTGGTGGCCTATAAATCACTGAGGAATTCAGTTTACCTTCTTCACTGATATTACGCCATCTTTGGCAGACCGGAACTGAAGACTGGGGAGATGGAGTGTTGATGTTACCTTTAAGGTGAAATTATATTGTTACATGATGCCAAAAAAGAAGAGCCAACACTCTCTAAGGTAGCGAAATCAAAATATCGACGTTCAGAAATAAACCATTTTGGATTTAAACCAGAATAAAATATTATATCACAAGAATAATTGTGAAATTATATGAAATTATATGATTCTATACTATCGTTAATCACTGTCAAGAACATTCACTACTTTAAAACAAACTAGCAACCCAGTCGACACCCACAGAAGTCCAGTTTCACCGGCTTTAATAAATGCTTGTAAGACATATGTACAGGTGTTTTTTAACCTATTTTTTTTTATTAGAAGTGTCAATCTCTGAATTGACAACAATTGGAACTGATTATGATTATTTTGAAAATTTCAACTAAATTCTCAAAACTTTTCTTATAATTTTGATTTATTATGTTGAAATAACTTATTTTCTCAAAATATTGACTTAATATCAAAATAATAACTTATCATCTGGCAAATACTTTTCTTAAAACTAAATAACAATTTTTACATACTTACATCCATTTATTTACTTATATACATACAAATAAGTCTGAATAACTTAAAGTCTGGGTCAAAACAGCATTTTGATGAGGGCCACTTTTGGCTCATATGCAATTTACCAGTGCCGACAGTGGGCCAGCAATGCCTTATGTTTGCCAAAACTGGCCCTCATCTGAATGCTATCTGGGATATTTCATGAAAGTCATTATTTTAAGACACTTATTAAAAAGTTGTTATTTCAAGATACTAATATGTCTTTTTCAGGAGAATACAGAGAGCTGGGAATTTGGCATGAGTTGGAGACGAGCATCACAGCTTCTAACAGACTCCATCGCCTGCCCTAAATCCCTCTAACGACAACTCACTCTATTTCTCTATAGTGGTGTTCACTGCCAGCAGCTTTTAATCCCACCAATCATCCACTCAGATTTACTGTAGATTCATCCCAGACTAGCTCTAAAGCTTGATGTCCATAAAATGTGCCAACCCACTTTCTGCTGGACAGGACTGGCAAAATCATATGAACAGGGTGTGTACATATGTACACGTACTGACTGACCCTACAATAATTTGATTCAATTCAGTGCACCACAATATCTAAAATTTCACCACGTTGGTTCAATTAGATTAGTTTGGTACGATTTAAAACAGTAATAAAAATACATAGAATAACCAAACATGACTTAAAGAACTATTTATACAGTGACAGAATATAGACAATACAAACAGCAGACTAAACTTTTTTCCAAAATCTTGACAAATTTATGTTGCCTGAAAAATGAGCCCATACTTTAAAGAATATTATTATAATGGATTATGACTGAGTCTGAAGGGGACGTAACTATAAGGGCAATTGTTGGCCGAGGCCAGTATCTAGTATTTTGCATGTATGGAGCTGGTGATATCGATATCAATGCTTATACATAAACATGCATAAAAATGCAGAAATAGGGACTAGCATTATTATTCTGTAAATGCAGTGAAATAAAATGCAATCGTTTTTTAAGCAATTATCTGCCGATATGATTGAAATGATTCAAATTTCATTGTGCATACTTAGATTCTTACACTCCAAAACTGACACAGTTAAATTGCACCTTAAGATCGATGCATCAAGCACATCTACAAAAATGGGGTAATATATCAGGTCTGTCAGTGCTGGTAAGTGCTTCACATTATGTGTGGTAATTCTCGGATGATTAATGGTTGGTGATGCAGCTGGCAGAGTCTCATGAGGGGGCACTTTATGCCTGAGATATAAAATCTGAGTAATTCAATATGCTACAAATGGGACTGATGAAAGCAGCCTGGGTGATATACAGTATTTGATTTGGAAGATTCTCCAGAGTGTTCTGTCCTCATATTCATATTGCCTCTCTGAAGTCTGATGCATTGGTTCTGGAATCTGAACACTTTTGGCTCTCTTCAATCTAATTCATGTCCAAGTGTGAGCATTTGGGAGGGAAGATAAATCTCTTTGGCCCAGTTCCTGTTTGTTCAACAGCACCTGCATAAGACGCTTGCATATTCAGTTAACATGTGAAACAGATGGAGAGGAAAAAGAGCTTACTTGTGTTCTAAAAGATGTTAACAGCGCTTGATCCTCATATGGCTCTCTTTATCCTCTTAGCCCCCCAAAACTGTTTAGTTATCTAACAAGAGTATTACCAACGAAACAGCAGGAATATGGCCCCATATACTGTGGCATCTTTTCTCAATGTGTTTTTTTTCTTCTGGGTTCCCTTTTATGAAAGCAACACTACACTAATGTAAAATCAATGGAGCTGGAGGTCAAATTATAGTCCTCAAGGACCCTTACCACCTTACTGACTACATCAGAAATACTGTATATGAACGCTGCTGCCACAATATATGTACTAAGCAAGGCAAGCAAAAATAAACAAATAAATAAAGAAATAGTATTAACTTGCTTCTTGTAAAAATGTGTTCTGTAATGTTCAAATTATAGAATAATTATTAATTCATACTGGTATTATTCATACTATTCCGCTCTGAGAACAGTGATGTCTGATCTGTAGCAATGTCTGTCTAAACTATGACTTTATTGCATTCTTGGTAGACTATGATTATGTCTGTTTGCTAACAGCATCTATTTATTTATTTGTTTCTTTGTTTGTTTTTGTAATGTTATGTTCTCTACATTCTCTCTAGCTAAATGAAAGTTTCCATTTTAGACAAAAACTAGTTCTAAAGTTCAATAGTTCAGAAATTAATAGTTATTTTCTGATACTATGTTATTTATTAGTCTTTTTTTTGAGGGGGGGGGTGTTGTTACTAGTACCACTTTGTCGA